CCTCATCACTGGAATACTAAATCAAACACTGTTAATGTTATAGGGAGCAGAAAGAGGTGCGAGAAACGAAATAGAGAACAAAGCCACTGGTCTAGAATAGCCAAAAAAAAAAAATTCTCATATATATTGGCAGTCTTCTGACGAGCCAGGAGATGTTGAATTATTAGTAATAATAATAATTATTGACTGTGTGAGGGGTGGATGGAGTGGGCTGTTGGCGAGAGAACGAGAGAATGCCGCTACAGGTTGCATGTGTCCCTTGCCAATTGTAGATTTTTCGGATGCTTTTCATTTTTGATAACGGACGTGAGAGGCAAAGCCGCCAAACCTTGTCGTCTGTTGACACACGTTTTTGCCACAAGGGTTATTGGTTTCCAATTGTTCGCGTGTACTACAATGAATTATAAGTCTGAGGATTTAGAGGCCATTGTTGAACAAATACAACCAGATGTTGGCCCACGATCACTTTTGCGATAACGCACTAGTCTTATGTGTCAACAGCTGGCAGCGAGTTATTGCCAGAGACCCTGTATTTCTGGCGTGCCGAGCACAGCGAGATAGGCGAGAAATGATTCCTCGCTAAATATTTTCAGGTGCAAATATGGCATCTGGTGTGTTCTTTATTGTCGCTTCTTTTCCTGAGTTCTTCAGTCAGTTTTGATTCTCACCAGTGTCCCTGCCCCCCCCCCTCCCACCCTTCATTTCTGTGTATACTATCATTGCATTTTATCACTTTTTGTCGTGATGTGCTTGCCATGCCTACATAATGCCTAATCGTCATTGGGGATATACATCCGGTTTTTTCCCTCACAACTGCGTCCATCGACGATGGCTTTTTCCCGGCTGGGTTGGTCCAGACAAATTAATCTGACGGTCCCAAGTGGTTCTGCATCATGGCCTATTTCTGGTATCCACTGGCACGCTTATTCTATCTGAGACACTCTGTTCTCAGTCCTTGCTTCCATACCTGACTCGTTATCCGGTTCACATCTGGCTGCCGCCAACTACCCTTCACTTTGTGTAGTGTCGTTATCGCTGTCTATGTCTCTGTGTATGCCAGTATGCGGAGCGAGAAGCGACAGTGGCTGTAGCCTTCCTGAAACAGAGCAAAGCATTTTAAATAAATACCGTCAAACACGATTTATTCCTTTTGGATCCAGCACAATGTGTACTTTTTTGTACGGTCGTCAGTAGGTGTGCTCCTCAGGTTCGGGTCGGCAACAGGACTGGTAGAGTAACTCAAGTTTTACCATCCAATTCCAATCAACCGGGCACCTTGGCCACATTTCACTAGCCATAGAGGATGGGCTAAAAGATCATTACTCGGACCGCTTCTTTTCTTCGTGTACATAATAGTATAATGTGTGCATGTGTCCAAGCCTTCTTCCAGCTATATGCCGACGACAATTCTCCTTACGCCTCGTCGAGAGACACTGGACAGGCAACTCGTATTGGAGGTCCCCACCGTTGGCTTCAAGGTTTTGGCAAAAGGGCTTGAGATTGAACGATGGTAAATCAGATTTCGCGTACAGCCCAATCTCTGTCACCCGTACCACGTTGCCCGGTCCTATTTGAAGTTATAGTTGTCAAAGCTGGTAATTCTTTTACAGATCTGAGTCTCTAGACATGGGAACACTATTTCTACCGCCGTCAGATTGACCGTATGCGACAAACGCTAGGCAATAACAGGGTGAATTCTGCTGGCCATGATGGAAGTTGTCGTCACAGACAAAACTGACGTTTCATCCTTTTTTTAATCAATCCTCTCTCGAATACATTTCAGGCGTACATTCGCCTGAGCTTGAGTTATAATTGTGTTTTCGCCCATCGTTGTATCTAAAGCAATTCAAGCTCATTTCTCTACCTGGTGTTTGTTCTTCATATATCTTCTTTATTTAACACATGCACCCGGTCTTCTTGTATTTCTTGCGCCCTTTCTAAGCATTGTCTCCAGTTGGTTTCTCACGTTTTTGCGAGTTTGGGCCGTTTTCAAAGTCTAAGTGTTGTTGTACGAAATCATATAGAATGTGCACAATTCATGCTTAGTCCGCAACCACACTACAGTAAGTAAAAATCCACATTACAAATTTGTAAAAAAAGAGAAGAAACACAAGAGAACGAGTTATGCAGCAACTATCCACGACTGTAACAAGTGTTTCTTCTCTTGCTTACATTTTATTTCTGGCTCATTATCCGAGTTTAAATTTCAAATTTGCGAGCATATTTCAGTACATGTCGGTACGTAACCACACTACAATTTTCGGTCTGCACAGACGTGGGTTTCACGCGACCAACACGTTACGTTGTCGAACCAAAGCGTGTGCCACGCGCTGGAAACGACCGGGAAATTCAAAAATAAAAATATTATGAAGAATACTAGCCTTGTTTCCGTTGCAAACATTGCGCCTGGAGTAATTTGTTCCGTTTTGTGTCGTGAACGTGCACTGCTGCAGAAGCGATTTTTGTGGCTATGCCTCCCTTCTCCCAGAGGTCAAGAACAAACAGAAAACGGATGCTCCACGACGACCAGCTAGCTACGAACAGGATATGAAACGAGGAAACGACAAACGTGGCTTTCTACAGGCGCGCTGGTTACTGAAATCCTACAAAGTGCGTTTTGCATTTTCTTTACCGTTGCCAAGACAATTTCTACTGTAACACTGTTTGTACGTGATATTAGACACCCTTAGCAAACAACGGTAACGCTATTTTTGCGGTACTCGTACCTTGATCAACCAAATAGCGTTTAAGCTGCAGCGTAAAATCGTTATGGGGGCTGATTTATCGTTGTGACAAACGGTAGTTTTTTTGCCAAATATTGCATAGTCCGTACGCATTTCACGCATATGGTGACATAAATGGTTGTACCGCGCGAAATAAAAGCTATTCTCGTGGCAACAGCGTACTAAAAATAACGTGCATCTTGCTAAAGGTTGAACCCAAATCACGGTGTTTCCCCCTTACGGTAATACCGTTACAACATATCGGTTTTTGCTAAGGGTGTCTATTATACCTACACTGTAGGTTGGCTGCAGCCTTCATCAAGGCGCATATACATTTCTAATGGACATTACAATTCGTAGAATGGAAGTTGGGTACGTGTATTTAATTTTGCACGAAGAATGATTTACCATAGATTGTGCCTATTGCATCCGAAAAAATAAAGCCGTGCCTTTTAGAAAAAGGACACTGGCCACCATTAAATATCATCTTGGAAACTATTATATTTCGAGCCGTATCGTCAAGTGAAATACATGCAAAATCAAATGAAAAAGGACAATGGATTAAGTACAGTAGGGAGGCGATAGACACAGCGCTGTTGCTGTCTAGTTATTTCGCACCACACTTTACGCTTGTTAGGTGTCCACACACGTCCGTATTTCTCCAGCTTCTTTCTAAGTGTATGGGTCACGAATTTTTTATTGTTCTCTTTCATCTTCTTCCCTGGTCTGTTTATCTCATCTCTCTTTTGTAACTTACTTAATACATTGTCCTTTTTCATTAGATCCTGACCGTATTTCACCGAACGAAACGGCTTGAAAGTAAGCTAATGAAAAAACTCAAGATTATGTAAATTAAAGGGGAAGTGCATCAATTTTTCGAGTAGGGTCCAGGAGAAAGACAATTTTATATCGGTGTGAATGGCATATCTCTCGCTTCTATACGATAAGCCAAACTTGCCTTATCGCCAATTGTATACTCACGTTGCCATAGCGACCAGCGCAGTGATGACGTATGAAAGGCTTAGCTCCACCACAGAGAAGGTCGATCACTGCAGAAATTGGTCATTTTCAATTGCCTTATTGTATTCACGGTGTGAAAGAAGTGCTGTGGTCAATGCCGTTAGTGCCGTGAACTGTTTATCGGCCTTCCCCTGCATTTCCCTAGGCTGACTGTGCCTAAGAAATGGTTTCCTCTAGGAGAAGATGCTTGGTATTCGCCTTCTCTCCTGAGACATTTTCAGCAAACTTTCAAAACTACGACATTATTTCATTCGTCAATCTCCACCACCCGTCGTCTCACCTGACTTCAGAAGATGTTACGAGCCGATAGGAGAGTCGCCAGGAAGCATCACATCCATCTTCAGGAAGTCGAAAGAGCAAACGGCATGGTCCTTGGTTGGGAGAAATACTGAACGTCTGATTTGTCCCAATCAAGATTTCAGTTTTTTGTTCGTCACAATTTTCGCTTGTCTGCTGATGTCTCCGTACTCCAGCTTTCTCCTGTCGGTGTCACCTCCCAGGACACAACCGAGAGGACTACTAACAAGCAGATTGAAGCAGTTCCCTGCACTAACAGCATTGAAAACAAGCCTTCTTTCACTTCGTGAATACAATAAACCAATTGAAAATGACCAAATTCTGCAGAGATCGACCTTCTCTGTGGTGGAGCTAAGCCTTTCATACGTCGTCACTGCGCTGGGCGCTATGGCACCGTGAGTATACAATTGGCGATTTGGCAAGTTTGGCTTATCGTATGGAAGCGAGAGATATGCCATTCGAACCGATATCAAATTGACTTTCTTCTGGGCCCTACTCGAAAAATCGGTGCACTTCCCCTTTAAGCATGAGCCACCTGTCCCTTTGCTCGGCTCGATTATCATCGGTGATTACAGAACCGGCAAAACCTTTTGAGTACACGTGTCGTGTTCTGCTGCAAACCTTTCTTATATTCATACTTGACAATTCCTGACAATTGCGTGCTACGATCCAGGTCTTTTCCCTCATTCCAAGCTCCTCCCCTTTCTGCGTTGCCCTTGATTGGACGCACCAACACCAAGCATAATTGGATGGATTGATGTATAAAAACCTTACACACATTATCTTCAAATCAAGTGGTCTCTGCGCTGCAAATTACAACAATTATCGCAATCAAAATTTCGGCCAGGAGCCATCATCAGGATAGTGATTTTGGCTAATGTCCGAAAATGTGATTGAGATAATAATTTGCCGCGAAGAGACCACTTGAGTCGAATACGGTCTGTGTATGGTTTTCCTGTAATGAAGTGGCTGTAGTGGAGCTTGCACACATCATGGAACAATGTGGTAAACAATAAACGGTGGTCATTCTTATGCATAGCATAATACATATACTGGATACAAGCGATACCCCTACATGTGCAGAGTCCGCCGCAGGAGTTTGCAGGCAAATGAAAAGAAAGGGTCATGGCGACCAAGGCATCACGCGAAATAAAGGCAATGCAAATACAATGTCTTTATTGTTACGAGGGGAAAGATGCAAACGGGCAATGTTTTTGCAATTGGTTTTGTCCAATCTAAGGCGCCTAAAAAAGTAAAAGTTCTAAAGACAGTTATTGGTGTAGAAAGATAAAGTATGGGTATATGTCTGACAGTCGAGATTGGAAGCAGTGAAAACGGAAAATGGCTATTGCTGGTATTGAAAAACTGTACAGCCTCGTTGGAACAACGGTCTTGAAACAATTATCTTGATTGAAATTGGAAAAAATGCTTTCTTCTGCTCATGGAATGAAAAATGTGACAATACTTGTATTACATTGTAGACGTTTGAATAGGTAATTTCCTTTGAAAATGGTGAAATGAAAACAGTTACGTGATGATAGTAAATACGCGAACACTCGGTGTTGAAACACAGCTTCCAAGCTCTCTCTTGTGAAATGAAAATGAAATGAAAAATTCTATCGTTTTGGTTAACCTGGCAAAATCATTAGTAATGGAACAATTGAAATGTGGTGAGAAGGGAGATTTGGGAGCCCGAAAGACAATTTTTTGAGGGGGCCAGACAGAAAAACTATACCAAGATACATAAATGTGCCTCATAAATGCCATGGCATATGAACTATGCATTTTTTACTGAAACCTATGACATGCTTAGATGTTTAGAAAGGAGCTGAGTGCGTTATACACATTTTTAAGTTTACTCCTGAATGTTGGAGCTTGGAGAGACAGTAATTGAATTGACAGCATCTGTTGGCATTTTGAGTATTATTATTATTATTATCATTATTATGAAATGACCCAAAGGCCATGTGCCTATCGAGGGGTTCAATTGATGATGATGATGGAGTGAACAGAAACAGTGGGTGACGAAGTGTCGAAAAATATACATTAGAGAAATGGTAAGATAGTAGACCTTTCGTGTGTGATCAGGTGACATGGCCAATAGTCACTAAAAGCTAACGAGACGACAGTGGAAAGTGACTTATATTAAAACACACCCAATGACGTTAAAATTATTGGAATAGGGTGACCAAGAATCAATGACACGATTCAGAATGGAAAATGATGATTTCGATGACAGACGAAAGGAAATCATATTATGTGTTCAAAAGTGTTCGCTAGAGTAGCGTGCAGAACGCGGGTGTCGCTGTGTAGTACAGAATGTTGAAATGTGATTCTCGAATACTTTTAAAAGGTTGATTGTGGTTCCCTATTGTGGCTGTGGAGTGCAGTGAACATATTCATTGCTGCAGGTATCCGATGCTGCGTCCTTTGACAGATCTGCATATGTGTTTTCCACGGCCTCATATTCATCCATGCCAGTCTCCTTCAATTCATTGATATCAGAATACAGAGCAGGCTCCGGTTCAGGTAGAGCGCTTCCACCTAGGGAATAGGCGTTATTGTCCGTCATCTCTGCTCCGACTTCGCCGTCGGGCACTTGGGTTGTTGCAACTCTTCCTTCTATCGCTTCATCATAAATGCCCCCACCGCCTGTTGTAGGGCATTCTTTCGAAGTCAGTCCCCGACGCCAACGTAGAAAGATAAATAGTATTATGGCTATTATGACGATTGCACCACATACTGAAGCTATTATTGGGGTAAGCGATGTGTCAGTATCTTCGCCTGGGTAAAAAGAAAACAGAATGGACATTAGTAGCAGTGGTCAGGCTTCCTGGTGCTTCATTCATGGGAAAAAACGGTTTCAGAGCAGACCCCATCTCTTCTCATTCACTCTGCAAACTTTAATGAATCAGGTATGCCATACCTGATGACGGTGAATTGGCCAAAAAGTTCTAATAATTGATTGAGAAACGAGTTCGTGTTTGCAGAGTGAACGGGAAGAGAGCGGGTCTGCTCGAAACCTTTTTTCCTAAGAATGGATATTGGAGCACTAAATACATAAATCGTGTAACTCAAGCAGGAAAAGCCTTGGCAATCTACATCTATTTTCCAATTAACCCTTTGGAGTCCAGAACTTTGTTTGCTTCCGCAGAATTTTTGGCAGTCACGAAAATGCGCACTCGATTTCAAACATAACTTTGGTTCTACTTCACCGATTCTGAAGATCTTGGGCTCGTTGGAAAGCTCTTGATGAGAGAAATACAATCAGCCCAAACTCGCCAAGAGCACTACTCATTGTCCGCCACAACGTGCTCCAAACGCAAATCCAGCTCCAGGTCTGAGACGAAATTGGTCTCCTGCAGCCATATCACTGAATCTAGCTCGAAACTGTTCTAGTGTACCTTGCCGTGACTTCGCGCCGCGCCGATCCTGGCACGTGCTGCCTGTCGTGAAGCTGCGAAAATCCCTTTTCCACGCACTGCTGACTCGCAGCACGCAACGCATAAAATTCAAAATGTTAGATCGCTCGCCGCTCACTCAAACGTCATCGAAGAGACTTCGGAGCTAATCGAGGCGATAGCGGAGAGTTTTCTCTACCATCTGGATCCTTCGATTGTTGGATTCGGTCAAGATTTGGCGGAGAACAGAAAGTTTGACTGCGCCCACATGCATACAAAATGCCCATGGTTCGAAATCAAACCATGGACTCCAAAGGATTCACCCGGAAAATATTGCTCAAAATGGAGACAAAAGTTTATTCAGGTGGTAAATAGAAGGACGTCTAAGTTGTTCGGAAATAGTCTGAAAGAATGTTTATTTATCCTTGAAATAGTCAGGTTCAAGTCACCTTCACCCTAATGCTGCTGTGCTAAATCATACTTTACACTCGCAGTAAGGCCTTCAAGTCTCGCATTTGTCAGCACCTGATACGCCAGGATTGGTTGTGGGCGACAACATTCCATGGCTAAATTTGACGATGTTCCATTCTCCAGTCCCACAACGATCACCTTGTCTTCACCCCACTGAACTGTACCTTGCTCCCTAGAGCTCTCGAATCACCTCAGTGCAGAATGTATTGCGTTTAAGTTTTTTTCTTCACTTCTTTCCTTGTTGCTGCTTTTCGTAGCCCCTTCCTCGCTGATCCAGTGCCTGCGCACTACTCTGCCTGGCAGCAGCTCCGATCTAACTTCTCCGTATTGCCCCACCCCCCTTACTGAAAGCAACGCAGCTGTTGGTCCATTGCCATAGTTTCCTGAACTAATCTGGCACTCACTCACTCCCCCTCCCTCACTCACCCCCCCCCCCCCCTCTCTTCCTCTCTCTCTCCAATATTGTCTGGCGCTCAGGTTCTCATTCTTACCACACAGTCTTTCTTCTCTCTCTTTCCCCCATGGTGCGTGATGTGCGCCTTGATCCCGAGACTATTGATCGGGGGAGCGCATTTCACCTCACCTGCACAGCTCAATAGCACCTACACGCCCTTTGTAGTCCCCTATGTTCTCTTGATGTTGTTGTTGTTTTTCTCTTCCATTCTATGTAGGCATGTGCACTTTCATAAAAAATTAAAAAAAAAAAGCTGAAAGGTCTCTGCTTGTATGACAGCTACACCAAACCTCAGTGGTTACAGCATCGTTGGTCACAAGCAAAGGCGCCTGATTCGAGTCCTGGTGTTCACAGTCAATTTTCTCTGCAGACCTTTCCCGTTTGCATCTTTCCCTCAAACCAATGCATATTCGTGATGGATTCACTACTAGGCTCAGGCGAATTATGCTCGCGAAATCATGCTCTTACTCTTTCTTGGATACTCGTAAACTCGTCATAATTGCAAAATAGAAAAAAAACACAAGGGAACGAGTTTTGAAGCAACTCTCCACGACTGTAACCAGATTATAAGCAGTCAGAGCATTCGATAACAGGGCACTAAACTGACAGGCTGCTGCGCTTTTCAACGGCCTAAGATTTAGCTCTAACACATCTCCAATTTCAACAGTTTTCCAACAGCCTTCCAACTTGGAAGGTTCACTAACAATATTGCGAAAACGTACGTCGTGTGAAACTAGTAATGTCATGTTAGCGTAGTCAACTCGTCCACAAAAGGGTCATGCATCAGGAGTAGATAATCCTAGATAATCCTACGTGTTTCCTTCTTATATTTTACATTTTAATACTGGCTCATTATCCGAGTTCAATTGTCATAATTGTTATGTTTTTGAAATATCGGGATACTTGCTCACTTTGTTGTGCTTTTGTAGCGTCAAAGTTTGGAGAATTGATTTTCAAGAACCGAAACATCCATGATGTGTAACTAGTTTTTGGAGGTGACAGCGTTGTGAATAGCTACTGGCTCTCAACGACTATTCAGCATAATTCCATAAGCAACTCTGACTTACGCTGCTGCCTGGGGCCTAACAAGGTGTTTGTCGCGTCGGAAATTAAGCGCCTCTGTAAGTTTGTATCCCTGGTGATGGGGTAGCACTATATAAGTTGTGCTTTTCTGGCACAAATCATGCTGAGCCTAATCAAGCTCAACTGCTGAGGGGTGCATTCCCCGAAACACGGTGAATTGGGCAAGATGTGGTCCTTTCTTGCAGGTTTGTCAAGTGGAGGTTGTGACGTGCTGCCTGTGTGCTCAGGATGGTAGTCGCAAGTCAGTCCAGTGTCAAGTTCGGCAGGAAGTGCGTGTCCATCGTTGGAACAAGCAACGTCTGGTTTTCTTTTCTCTACATTTTGGCATGGTTTTTTAATTTTTAACCAGTTTTTCACAATTAAAATTAAACAACCTACTATCAGAAGGAGATAAGACAACATAATATACAGTAACGAAACAGCAGGGAGAGTAAAGGCTGCATACGAAGCCTGTGCTGGTAAGGAAAGCCCACAACAGCGAGCTATGGTCTCGGCGTTACAACCACAGTCCATTGTTTGTTGATTTCTACTTGTAACTAGAATTACAGTATTCAGAAACAACAACCTTTGGTTTTCCGTGATCATTATCATAAAAAAATAGAATGAAGATAAGAGCTTTTTAAGCTCACTTACCAGTACTTCGAGTAGATGGAAATTCGCAAATTGGAGTATCGTTATCCCAAACACCGGAGTCTTGGCAAACCGAGGTAACTGCGCTCAAGCTTTCATGCTCCTCGCTGAAGTGCATTCCTTTGGGGCAGGTGAAGATAGCAATGGTGTTCTTCGGTACTGTCAGGGAGCTATTATGCTTCTTGTTTCCCACATAGTATTTTATTTTCACATTTTGAGATGATGCATCGACTATATCGCAGCCCACTGCAGATGGTGAAAATAATATGAGACACATAGTGATCGTTGTTCTCCAAACATATTAATTTGGTACTATCATAGTTTTCAATAAATCCGTCCAACTGCTAGTAGGTAAGTGCACTTGGTGTTATTCCTACAAGTATTTTTGATCTACTACAATACCTACCTGTCTCTGTAAGTTTGTACCCCTGGTGATTGTTGTGCCTGGAGAGTACTATATAAATGGTGCTCTTCAGGCACAATCTTCCTCAGCGTACTCAAGCTCAACTGGCGAGGGTTGAATTACCTGAAACACTGTGTATTGATCAGGGAGTGGTGCTTTCTTGCAGGTTTGCCAAGTCGAAGTTCGATAGACTTCTTGTGTGCTTTGGATGGCAGTCGTGAGTCAGTCAAGTGTCAAGTCAAGTCGGCGGAATAGCGCGAGCGCCAGTGATGGGGGCAACCCCATTCCAATACCTACCAGTTCAGCATAATCTCATCAATGTTTTGTTGCTGTTGTGTTCAATCCATAGCAAATTGCTTTTTGAGTTGAGTTTGGGTTGATTTCCCCCTTACATCCGCTTTGAACCCGCTGGTTTCATTCCTTCCAGCCTTCCTGTAACATAGTAACGAATGTTACGGCTGATTTCTACAGAACGCATTTTGTTATAACCCTTCCTCTTCTCAATCTACATGTTATAATTTTGCAGATAGATTTCCAGTAAGCCATGAACGGAGACCCCCTAGACTTAGGCCTCGGCCTTTGGGGAATCCATAGATAAATAGATAAATAAATGAAAAATCACCACCTGGACAAAACAATAATACCACTGTTTTCTTGCTTTTGTTTTCAATTATTTTTGATTTGACTTCCCCAATCACTATATTTTGATGATATGCATGTAGACTTGCCCGTACAAGTGGCTTTTTCCTTAGTAACATGTGGTGCTGACATTCAACAACCTAAAGATTACCCAGTATCAGGCGGAAATGCACTGACTGTGGACAGTTGATCCTGAGCCTGTACACTCAAACTGCGAGAAGAGCCAACCTATCCTGACCGTCATCAAGGATGACAGTTGGAAATGAGTTGCGTGCAGCCCGCCAAGAAAAATAGGTCGGTGTTCTTTGTGGGCAACTTGAGCCACGACTGCACCCTGGACAGCATCAATGAGTTTGTACATTGTCAGTTGTAAAGGGTGGGGACGCCTGTCAAAAGCCCACCAATGCAGCCTACACACAGCCGAAAATGGGCAAGTGTCCGCCAGGATATCGCAAATGTTCCTCTGCCAAACGGTCACCAGATTCCTTGTCACAGGATGCAAAACATGCTGCCCAGCATGGTGCGCAGCAACCCCAGCAGGACAACCAGTCCTCAAAATGATGGCTCCAACTCGTGCACTGCAACCTAAACTCCGGCCCCTGCTCACAGATGCCTTTGGTTGAAGTCAAAGCTCGGGGAGCTACGGCACCTAGCTACAACGACCACACCCGATACAAATTTTAGTAAGTGAAATTTTTTTTCGCCAGACAGGATCACCGATGACGAAGCATCCCTCCCGGGCTATGCGGTACCTATCTGAAGTGATCGCAATGAACATGTCGGTGGTGTCGCTATTTGGATCAGAGACAACTTTGCCCTCCAGCACCTGCAGCAAATCAACTGTCTTCACCACGAAGTCATCTGGGCATTCGAAGCGTGATTTGTGCAGTGTACAGGTAAGGATCTGGTGCAGGGAACGACACAGAGCTACTAGAGTACCTTGACTGTGAGCTACACACTGCTCGGCGCTTTGGCCAACAGTTAGTTCTGGCAGGAGACTTTATTGTCCACATTGTGCTCTGGCTGGGCAGTACAAAAACCACACTTGCAGGAGAGCTGGCGGAGGAGATGTGCTACATTCATGAACACTCTTGACCTCATCATGTCAGACGTTCCAGGCAAGATACCGATCAAGTGCCTTGCCCCAATGGGAGCGTCAGATCACTCCGTCATCATTGCCGACTTCCCAGTACGCACAAACAAGGAACCGAAAACCACTCGCGCCCTCTGGAGGTACAACCAGTCTTTCTTGCAACACACAATTCTGCGGGTTTCCAGGTGTCAGACAACGGAGAGCCCAGACCCTGTCTTCTTTGCATTTTCGGCAAGCTGCATCTGATGTTATGACCAGTCACCATCACTACACAAAAGTCGTTGACGCTGCCAATGTTATTCAAAGTTCTGATGCTTCGTTTTATGTAATTGTGGTGTTTCTTCATAAATATGTTGTTTTGCCCGTACAAGAGGCTCAAGGCGTTTATTCCTAACGAAGTTTCGGCAAGCAACAGTACGGAGAGAGCTACGCATAATCAATCCTGAGAAAGCTACTGGTCCGGATGCTGTCCAGCACGGGTTTTGATATTATGTGCAGATTTCCTCTGCAAACCACTTGGCCAAACTATTCTCTCTCTATTTCCACAGCCAGGTGCAACCATCATCATGGAAGATCTCGAGGGTAGTGCCCATCCATAAGAAAAAGTCCAAGAGTCTCTCCAAGAATAACCGCATCGTGTCCTTGTTTCCCGTTATGTCGAAAGTAATGGAGGCTATTGTCAACCAACATATAACCAACTTCCTTGAGAAGCACCACGTCCTCTCGCCCAGGCAGTTCGGGTTTCTCAAGGGTCTCCGTACTGTCGACATCCTCACTAAGCATCACACTGAATGGTCGAAGACACCCGGCCTTGGAGGAGCTGTCTGTGTACTTGCGCTCGATATCGCAGGTGCCTTTAACAAAGTCAGCCACCCCAGTTTGCTGCACAAGGCTTCAGTTTCTGGGCTACATGGTCACCTCCATGGCTGGCCGTCAAGCTACTTTGAAGTACCTTCGCGATTGTCGCCTTCACGCGGTTGTAACTGGCAAGCAGTCTTCAGCGCAACCTGTGCAGCCTGGTGTCCCGCAGGGCAACATTCTCGGTCCCACATTGTTTCTACTCTACGTGAACGATTGTGAAGACCATCTCCCCGCGGGCTCCGAACTTGCCACCTAGGCGGATGACACTACCCTCTACCAGTGCCTGTCTGCCACATCCCACATCGCCGACTCCACAGTGCAGCTCCAAGCCATCATGGAACGCATCGCTGAGTGGCGCGGAGACTGGCGAGTGACATTTGACCAGTCCAAGTCTCAGGCGATGACCATTGACCACTATAAGCCACCTCCAGCCATGCCACCAGTACTGTTTGCAGGAGCTGCCATCCCGGAGGAGCAGGAGATTAAGCTGCTCCGTGTCACCTTTGACACCCACTCCAAGTCTCAGGCGATGACCATTGACCACTATAAGCTACGCCCAGCCATGCCACCAGTACTGTTTTCAAGAGCTGCCTTCCCGGAGGAGCAGGAGATTAAGCTGCTCGGTGTCACATTTGACAGCCAGCGGTCTTTCTCAACTTATCTCCACTCCATTGCAACCAAAGCAGCTCAGCGGCTCCACTTCCTTGCCAAAGTTGCCCCCCTCCTAGACGCCAGAGGTAGCACAGCTGTGTACAAGCGGTTTGTCTCGCCCTCTGATAGAGTACTGCCCCTTGGTGTGGATGGGCTACAGTACCTCCAGCCTGGACAGGATGCAGCACAGATTTGTTAAAGATCATCGGCCCAGGAGTTTGGCTTCCCAGGCTGGAGCACCGCAGAATGGTTCCTTCCCTGTCGCTCCTCTTCAGGCTAACGTATCTTCCCCCGACGAATCACCTTAAGAGAGCATGTCTGAGAAAACCAGAACATATGTGCACGTCGATCTCCCAGATGTCGCTCAAAATTTGCAGGTAGGTTTGCTTTGGGGTGTAGAGCGACATTCCAAAGCCCGCACAAAATCTTTTGATAGGAACCATGATATTGGTATACCGCTCAGTATTAGCCCAATATTGGCACGATTTATGGGTCTACAAACGAGCCACGGCACAGCGTACTAGAACAAGCTACGAACAAAACTCCATCAAGCCAACATTAATTTACCTTAGAAGAGTTATTGGGGCAGTACCACTTAGCCACTCCAGCATCCCAGAAGACGAGGGCAATCATTCCTTGACGCCACAAATGATCGTGTTGAATTTAGCCAAATTACAAGCGCTGATAAAACAGCCAGCAACGTCCTCAACTAGCAAACACTATACACCGGCCGATAGTAGAACACCTCTTCTAGCACTGAGGACATGTCCCCTTTCATCTTTTTTGGCTTTTCTTGAAATAAACATTTTTGAATTTTTCCACTCGACTATTCTGAAATACGTCAAAAACTCATACCTGTGCAGGAAAGCTCGCCCCTCCTCGACATCTAGTCAGCAATTTCTACTCCAACACAACACCCAACGCTCCAGAACAAAGTGTATAGTTGACTCTGACAAGGAAAAGCAGCAGTGATCACTTGTCACTCCAAACGACAAGCTTCTCCTTGCGCCACCAACATTTTTCGGTGCAACAGTTGTGCAGTGACTGAACTTTGCGTGTAGTTTTTGGATTTTACTGCAAGAGGAATGAAGAATGATTGCCCTCGTCTTGCCCTCGTCTTCTGGGATGCTGGCATGGCTAAGTGGTGCTGCCCCAAGAACTACTCTAAGGTGAGGTGATGTTGGCTTGATGGAGTTTTGTTCGTAGCTCTTCTTGTACGCCGTGCCGTGGCTCGTTTGTAGACCCATAAATCGTGCGAATATTGGGCCAATATTGAGGGCTAGGCCAATTTCATGGTTCCCTTCAAAAGATTTTGCGCGGGTTTGGGAATGTCGATCTACACCCCAAAGCAAACCTACCTGCAAAATTTGACCGAAATCTGAGCTACAGAGTAGCGGTGAGGCATCCTGCAGCTTCATAACTCGAAGAGAATTGGTGAGCACACTTGCTCATTCCCTGGTCACGGCAAATTCACAACTCATTTCATTTTACAGAATCATTCCCAACGTTTCGGCAAATTGCCATCATCAGGATGCAATATGAAGTGGAAGTCTGCCAAGGAGCAGTTACATCCACCAATTTGGTGTTCTTAGGTGTTGA